AACAAGTAGGCAACATGTGTGAGGAAGGTGTTTCGCTGGGCTATATAATGCATTCGTACAGGGCCGCCCCTGGCCAACTTGGGGCCCCAAGCGACATTGAGAGATGAGATGTTTTGGAAACAAAGTAGGCTACTTTTCAAATATAATTCCTGTTTATTATTATTATCAACACAGTTACTTTTTATACAGTGAGGTAAATGGTAAATGTGCATGTATGTCATTCAGTATGCGTTTACAGGTCAATACGTCTGCATTTCCTGCCAAATACTAGCCTCAAAAAGATTCAAATATAATTAATGCGAATAAACTACTTCTACTAATAATAATAATCATAATCAATTCAATAATATAAATACTATATTATTTTATTATAATATATTTGTAATATAGTCAAGACAAAACATGTTTGTTACATGCTCAAAAACTGAGCCAAGCTCATGAGCCGAGGCCCCCTGCGCAATGTGAGGACCCATGCAGCCTGCATGATCGGCCTGTAGGGAGGGACGGCCCTGTGTATGACTGTACATTACATTTAGTTGACATTTTTATCCAAATGGTGCCGTCCAATCAACCATGAAGATGCAAATTCCTAACTGCAAGAATCCTGCATGCACATTAGCTTTCAATAAGCCAAACATTTTCAAGTGCTAAATTCAGAAATAAGTTTTTTTTTTTCGTTTTTTCCTTTTATTTTACAGGCCAAAGTGCAGTCTCAGTACTGAACAGTAAATTAGACATAGTTCTTAATGATTGTGCCCTTCTGTTTTTGTACATTTGCAATTATTTTACCTTCTCCTCCGTACTGTTGAAGAAAGAGATATGTCATATTTTCTAATCCTTCCAATAAAATATTATTGACACACTTTTGATAACACTGAAAAAACTAAGGGATGGTTTAGTTTGAAGTGTTTATTTGCGGTATTTGTCCATACTTGTATAATCTACAGTAGTTTGCAGTAAGCATGCTCAAAGTTTGTTAAAACTGATCACAAATAAGACCTTTTAGGCCACATTTTATATATATTTTTTATATAACAATCGTTTTCTATTAGTCAGTCTATTTTTCATAGATTTTTAAGTATGGCAAAGATAAAGAAAGATAACAATGAATAAACAGAAGGCCTGATTAGTTCTCTGCTGGGTTTAATGCCCCTGATAAGTGTATTTGAATGCATTTCACATGGTAGATGAATGGAGTCTTTATTTAAATGTGAACATCAGACCATCATCTTAAACCTTCTCCCCTTATTGGTGTGAAAAAACAACTCTAGAATACATTTTAGTTTAGCCTGCATGATCTGAATACTCTGAATGAAACAAGCTCTTATTAGTTTGTAGAAACATCCCGAGTGTAGAGTCCACTCTCGGGATGAGTGTTGTGAGTTCTTTGTGTGTAGATGTTTACGTCTCTTATCCAGGAAGTAGACCCCAGCGAGCGTTAGTGTTGACACAAAACAACTCCGTCTGAGCTGAACTCAAGAGCTTCTCTCAGCTCACTGGAGTGTGTTGGTAATCCTGAGAAAAATGCTGCGTGGATGAAAAGCTTTGCCCTCTCATCAGCGTCTGGCTCCGCTCTGAACTACACAGACATGCCAGGTTTAAATTCCTTTCTGGTCAGTATCTGGCGAGGACGTCCAGTTCCCTTCATCTTCTACCTCTTTGTCTTCAGTGAAGAAAACATTTAGGCTGTGATCTGCCGGCAGTGTTTCAAAGGTTACAAAGTGTTCTTCTGTTTTGTTTTTCTATTAGAAGATTAAAGATAGTTAGTTAGTGTCAGCGATGGATCTCTAAACTGACTAAGTGACTGCTAATATTTCTAACTGGATATTCAAACAAAGGATATTAAATACACACAAAACGGCTACAAAGGGTCACAAAACTACTAAAGAAATGCAAAATGACTACACAAAGATGCGAGATGACTACAAATAGAACCAAAACAACTATAAATAAATCACAAATTAACACAAAGAGACGCACAATTACTAGTGATTGATTAAAAATTACGAACGAAGACGAAAAGATCAAATATATATCCTAAACCACAAATAAGAACCAAATGAATACAAATGGACAGAAAACTTCTAACAAGAGTCAAAAAGATCAGTCACAAAACTACCACAGAGAAATACAAAACAGTAACAAAGAGATTCAATAAGACCCTTAAGATTCTTAAAATGATCAAACAGACACAAAACAAAAAAATGTAGCATAAGAAAAGTCATAAAACTATCAAAACGACTACATTACGGATAGAATCAATTACCACGGAGACAAAATGCTGAAACATATATTTCTTTTGTGCATGTTTTGATGTGCCAATTAATCCTTTATATAAGCACATTAAAGCTGGACGCATGCTTTACACGATAAGGTGTGCAGATTGTGTGTAGTTCTGTATTTGGATGTTGTCAGTAAATCTCTAGTGTTTATTTAGTTGTGGATATTTGATAAGCTGCGATAAAAAACACAGGCTTTATCCAAGATACTGTACACACACTTTATCACACACATGGTCAAACATAATAAGCACACACTCAGATTCAGACACAGAGGATGTATATTTCATATTTCTAAATAAATATAAATGATGTGTCTCTTGATCAAGATAATAACATTCGCAGGCAGCGGAGACTTCTTTTAAAGTTTTTTTTATTAAAAAGTATTTATGCAGTGCAATTTATCTGCAGGACAAATTCAAGGTACAGCACTTACATACAGTACAAGATCAACAACACACACATACAACGTGAACCTGAGTTACAGTGTACTGAAGAGTGTGAAGTCTGCATGAAAATATAAGACTGTGGCTTCCTGCAGATGAAAACTTGGCAGATAAAAACATTAATAAAACAAACATCTTGGCACTGGTTTCAGAATAAATCCAATCACTCTGCAAATACAACTGATACACACACCACATACATATCATCTGTATTCTACACATGCAGAAATACTCAGATATAATTAATGACAAGTAAAAAACGTCCTGGTTTTTACACATTTCTCACTGACTTTCAGTGCCGTCATTGTCAATGAGAGGAGGCCGACTTCATGCGGCTGATGGCAGAGCAGCAACAGGACGGTTTAATGAACGGACAGGTGCATGCTGGGAAACCTCGTCACACTATCAGAGTGTCCCTGCTCAGTGCAGTGCTCTGTTAAAGGAATACACCGAGAGCCAAACGTTAGACACTTTGACTTCATGCATTTGTAACAATGTGAGTTATTTGGTAAATGGTGATTTTTGTAGCGTTAGTGGTGGCAGAGATTGAAAAAAGCGCTTTACAGTAAAGTCCATTTACCGTGCGAGGTTAGTGAAGCCTGTAGATATCCTGCAGCTCAAGCCATGTTAGTAGTAAAGCCTGTTATACAGATGTTTTCTAATACTACAAAGAAAGTTAGTAAGCATGTGTAACACTGGGATGGTTGCAAGCGTGACCAGATTATACTGTACATGTCTGAGTTAAATACTATTTGCATTGCTTTTGTAAATGTATGCAAACAAATGTAACAGCTACTGGAGATACAATAACATCAAAGCTAAGATTATAAGGAATCAGTGTTAAGACCAAACATCTTGTATGTACATTGAGCAAGAGACAATCAGAATATGTACATAATACTGTAAAAAACAAACAAACAAACAAACAAAAAAGCTGGCGTTGTTGTATTGTATTCTTATTGTCAACAAATCCCATTAGAGACTATAACTGATAATGTCTCTCAATACTTTAATACTAGTTTTTAAAACTCTCTTTATTATGAAACAGTGTCAAACTATTACCTTTATTAAAGGTGGGGTAGGTAATTTTGGAGAAACCAGCTTGAGTGCGCTAGAATTTGAAAATACACAGGAGGAAAAAAAAATCTGCCACTTCCTTACAGAGCCCCTCCTCCAACACACACGAACGCGCACATGACCAATGAGGGCACGAGATAAGTTTGTGCACAGATGGAAGGCTGACAGGCAGGTAGGCCATCCAGTTATTTTAGCCGGGCCGGCTCAGATGATTGGTCGTGCTTTTTACAGTACCACGGCTTCCACAGATGATATTTTTTTATGGATTTTTTTGTCAAAGCACTTCAGATATTCATTGCTATCGGGATGTTAAGAGCATTCCATGGAATATAACAAAAAGTGTATCTCGAGCCGGTTTCTCAAACTTACCTACCCCACCTTTAAGTTTGTTGTTTTTTTCGAACATTTTTGATGTGCTTTTTCCTTTCCAGTAGAGAGCTGATAACAATGTCATAGTCCTAATCCCTTAAATCATAATTCTATATCGGGATTTATTAAATAACAAGAAAGCCTTTCTTATCTCATTAAATGCACGCACTGTCACTCCTATCATAACTCAACAGGAGTAGTTTTATAGCAGACTGAAAACTCATCTCTTTCGACTCCACTTCGAGCGATAGAATTACTAACAGAGCACTTATATACTAATAAAGGATTAGCTTATCTAAAGCCAGTTGAGTAGCACTTGAAATGTTTGGCTCTATGAAACCTGATGTACTTATATGATTCTGTTTTCTTCAAGGTTGTATCTTCCTGGTTGAATGTACTTATTGTAAATCGCTTTGGATAAAAGCGTCAGCTAAATGTAATGTAATGAGTACATCATGCATTTGTTTGGTTCTGTTTTCTTCTGTGGATTCAAACCATTTGGGGGCTGTAAATGAGTAACTTTCCCCCGGTTACCTTGAATTCTTAATAATAAATTGTTTAAATGTGTTTTTTAAAAGAGAACATTCTCGATAAATTGAAGCAAGACAATTTTAACTACAGCAATACTATATCAAAACTAAATCACAAACACAAGCATTTATTATGAATTATTATTTATTATTTATTATATGCTCTTGCTCGTCCTATGTAAAAACATCTTGTCTTTGGAGAGTTATTTACTTCAATTCATCAACACGTTCCTCCTTTTTGTATTCTTAAAAAATGTCAAGGTAAAACAGGGTTGACATACAGTACTAATGATCATTGAGGGTTTGACATATTCCTTTTAATTCACTATTTGTATTTGGACTCTCATGGGATGTGCTGACAATAAGAACAATATAGAATATGCAGAATTATCCAGTAGTTATTGAGGGGGTTTAGAGGCTCTTTCCTGAAGGGCTGCAGAGGAAGGAAGTCCTCCTTCCTGCTACAAGTAACTCACCAGGTTTCGGCTCCTCTCCCTCTCCTCTCTCAGTGCTTGGGACGTGTCCTGGGGGGGGCGGGTGTAACAGAAAGGCCTCATGGCAGGTTCACTGGGTTTGTATCTCTCTGCTCTGGGAGGCTCTACGGTGCGGTACCGGTCCGCGTTTGGGTCGGCCCGGCGGTACCGCTCGGCCTCGCGCTCAGAGTACGGAGGAAGAGAGTCCTCCTCTTCTGGACGGTTGCTGGGAGACCGGCTGTAGAAACTCCCCTTCCCTCTGGAGCTTCCTTTAGAGGGAGTGTCACTGTCCTCGTCCGCCCTGTAAGCCCCTCTGTCCCCTCTGTCCCCCCTCTCTCCCCTCTGTCCCCTCTCTCCCCTCTGTCCCCTCCCCTCCCTCTCGCCTTGCTGTCCAACACACTGCTGAGTATGGTGTCGTCGTATCCTTTGTTTTTTGGCGGTGGACACGGCCGATCGCTGTCCCACGTGTCCCGTCTCTTCTGAGGTAAAGGCGAGGGGCTCCGGCGGCCCCAGCCCTCGTCTTCCTCTCTGTAGAAGCGCCTCGGGGGGCTGTAGTCGCGCTCGTAGCCCCGTTCTGGACGAGAGCGGGAGTTGTAAGACTGGGCGAAGTCCTCCAGCTCGTCCAGAGAGCCGGTCCGTCCTCTTCTGCTCAACGTCTTCCTCTGCAGGTGCTCTGATGGCGGGTTCCACCTGCACACAGGGACACAGAGTTTCAATCATAATAATAGTACTTTTTTATTATTTTATTTATTTTTCAACATACTCAAGACACTTGAAATGAAATGTACGGCCAGTATAAAACTACCTTGAACACAAAAAAGCCCTATTTGGTGCTTTTCCCCTCTTAGCACATTCAGAAAAATACAAAAGATGTATTTAATATTATATTGCATATAATGAATAAATGAATGCTCACCATAAATAAATAAACATACCACTAATTAAATTATACATACAATTAAATATTCTATATTTATATTTATATTTTATTGGGGCTTTACCCTTTAAACACATTCAGAAAATCACAAACTATATAATGTATAATAATAACACATGTAGGAGCCATGAAACATGTATAGTAATGCGTTTTGTTTTAATATAAGATATTTGTTTGATCACAATTGATTGGTTTGCTTGGGTCACATGGATATGGGCGGCACTCATTATAATCCTGTTCACCTGCGTGAGGTGTGTGTGGAAGAGAGGGTGACACAGGGTAGGGCTGCTCGATTATGGCAAAAATCATAATCTCGATTATTTGGGTCAATAATTGATATCACGATTATTAAAAACGATTATCCATTTTTTCAGCGACTCTCCACTTGGCCGGACCCGGACAAAACGGATTTGAAGGAGCGTTCTAGGTGTTTTTAGACAACTTTTTATTTAGTCAAATTACTTTTGAACGCCCTACTAGGGTTTGAATAATAGGAACCTGTATAGTAACAATAGTTATTAGTTTTCGTTAGTTAATTGAGACGGCAGTCGTTTTTACCATTTGCGGGGGATCAACAATCCCGTACGAGTTGAATTAGGTATAAATGTAGCAGTTTTAATGTAATACCCGGAACGTGTTGGTCTTATGCTTGTTGTTTGCATTAGCTTATTTTGCTAAATAAAAAAAATAATAATAAAAAGGTTTAAATTGTAAAAGAAAAACTAACCAAAAAGTCAAACTTAATAATGAATTTTTCAAGTCCCATTTAGTTGACAATTTTGTTATGACAAGTTTTTTTTTTATTTAGGTTTATTACATACAAAAAAA